TATATATATATATATGTCTGTATGTATATATATTTAAGGCTTGTCGTGCTGTTTGATACGTGCGTTTGGTCCTGAACAAAGACACTAGTTTTGATTGATGGGGTGGTTCTGACTGTGACCAGGGAAGTATTGCCGTTGTTCCCCTTAAAGTGTGCTATATCGCCCGAGCCACTCGTGTGTGAAAGTGGTGTCGACATTCCCTCTACAAAGTGATTTAATCACTCTCTACTGAAACTCAGTTGATGTGATGTCTACTGACACTAATACCTAGTGCAACTGAAGGGACTATAGGTCACCTCCCACCCTACTTCAGGGAACCCTACCCACTAACTCCCCAATCGGCCGATGCGCACTGAAGCTGAACAGTGAGTTCATGCGCAGCTCCTTCGGTCAAGACAAGGCTACGCACAACACAGACAAGGTTAGGGTTTAGGGTTCTTAGGGTTCGATGGTTGATACTCAAACCTCTGGCGGGTCAGGTGTTATGTTGTAATTGCCCCACGTTGATCGCACGCTACTCAGCCTGGCTCACACCACACAGAAGACACGCCATTTGCTTCAGAATGGCTATACACGCTATTTGCTTATACACGCCATTTGCTTCAGAATGACTATGCACGCTATTTGCTTCAGAATGGCTATACACGCTATTTGCTTATACACGCCATTTGCTTCAGAATGGCTGCCCTTCGGTGGTACTGTACCATATCTCGGTCTCCGAGTCGCTCGTATCCACCTCCTCAATCTCATTGACCCCCACCAAGTCCTCGGTACGCGCGTGTGCGTGTGAATGTGTATGTGGCGAATGCGTATGTGCATGCTCCAGCACATTCGCCCGTCCGTACTTTCTCACAGGCGCACCGGCCCCGTGGTTGCCATGGTGATACCTGGCCCTGTCCTCCGCCGTATTTTCCGCCACCCCCCGGGCCACGGTGTCCCTATACGAGCCTATAAGTGCGTCCAAACCTTCCGCAGAGATCACAGCCCTCCTGCGCGGGCGAGCCTTGGTGAAGCTCAGATCATCCGTGCTATGGTCGAAGTTGGTGGCCACACTCTCCTCACTCTCCGTCCCAATACCCTCGGCGCATATCCCCAGGGTCCCCACATTAACGTAGCTGAGTTGGCCCTGAGGTGCGGAGGTGGTTCTACTGGCCGCCAACTGGGCCGAGTGAGTGCGTCTGCGCATGGCTTGCTGTGCCTCTGTATCGGGGTGACCTGCATGTTTGGTGGTCGTGTGCACTGTGCTGCTGCTGTTGCTGAGCTGATGTGCGTGCGGGTACTTGAACGACAACGCGAACGGATCAAAGGCGTCGCGCGTCGCCGCGGACAGCGAATCCGGCGTGAGGCTGCGCGGTATTCCGGGCCGCATATCGCACGCGGACAAGGGACTGCTGGCCGTTGGTGAACGCGGAGACTTATAGGACTGCGGAGACTTGGACTTGTCGCCGGCGGTGTGTGCGCGCGAGAAGAGGTGGAGTGAACTTCCGCTGCGCTTGACTTTGCGTGGGTGGGTGGGTGTGCTCGCGGGGCTCTGGGCCTCTGCTGTGTGGGAGCGTTGTATGCTGCGGCATGCAGGGTTGAATTGCGTGTCGTAGGTGTGTGTGTATGTGTTGGTTGCTTTGAGACTCGAGTTTGCGCCCGTGCTGGTAGTGGTTGCACCGGGGGTGGTTGACCGTTTGGGCTGGAAGAAGTCTTTGAGTGACATCATCTCCCCCTCAGAACTAGATCGCCGGTGTGCGGAATCGCTGGTTTTCGTCCGGGTGAGTCGGAACGACTGCCTGAGCTTAGCTTTGTCTTTGTCCTTGTCCTTTGTCTTGCTGCTGCTCTTACGCCTGTACGCGCTCACCTCAGCCCCCAGGTCTCGGTCGCTGTGGGGTGGTTGGGGTTGGTACTTGCTGTTGTTATTGACCGGTCGGGGCGTGTGCGGGTGCTCGGGTTGTCTGGTCAGACTCTCATGGGTGTTGAGGTAAGCTATGTCCATATCCGACGCCAAGTTATCCTCTTCCAACAGTACTATGCCCAGCCGAGAGTCTTTGCTCGCGTCCGCGATGGCTTGCTCAGATGTGGGTTCGGCCCTACGCGCTGGGGGAGACTTCCACCTGCGGCCCATGGCGCGCAGAGACTTTCGGTTGATAATGGACACCCCCTCCGCATCTCTGGTGTGGGAAGGGGGTGGGGAACATGGTTCGTTTGGGTGAGAATATAGATACATATGTACAGCAGCACGGCAAGATGATGAGCGTATATGCAAAGGAGGATAAGAGTCTGTACCTTTGTTGGGGCAAGCACCCAGGTCCACGAGGGCATCAGGTGAATTAGTAGTTCAACATGGGGACTATGTTGATTTCATGCTGCACTTGTGTATCCCTATCTGCGTTGATAGCTTTACTTGTTACGACCCATGAATACATGCTAGGCCTAAGTGAAGGTAACGTCCAGGTATACAATTCAAAAGGATGATATATATACTTGACCCATAAATGCATGCTAGGCCTAAGTGAAGGTAACGTCCAGGTGTATAGTTCAGAAGGATGGTATATATACTTGACCCATAAATGCATGCTAGGTATAAGTGAAGGTAACGTCCAGGTGTAAAATTCAAAAGGATGGTATACATATTTCCTAAGACCCCTTGATGCATGCTATAATGCCCAGGTGTATAGTTAAGAAAGGTGGTAGATATACTTAGTAAGACCTATAAGTGTATGCTAGGCCTATGTGAAGATAACGTCCAGGAGTATAATGCAGAAGGATGGTAAATATACTTTTTAACACCCCTTACTGTATGCTATAATGACCAGGTGTATAATTAAGAGAGGTTGTAGATATACTTAGTAATATCCACCCATATTAGATTAGATTATCCCTCGGGATGTCCATCCCCATCCCTACGGATCTCCGATAAGGGTCCCTACGGAACCCCGAAGGGACAGGACGGGTCCCCGGGTTCCGGGGACCCTCCACCATCCCCCAATCTTAGGGGGACATAAGCTAGCCTATTCATCAGGAGATCTACCATACCATGAAAAGAATGGAATTAGCTAAAACGAAACCTGGCGAGCTCTTCTAAAAGGTAACGAAGAGGCACATATGGTTGGCTTGCCTAAAAGGGAGGGTCTCCTGAATAAGCTCGCGGGGCTTACATTCGCAGAGATTAGTGTTTAACTCACGAGAGTAGGGAGACTAGATGGAAATCACCATCTCTATCCACCCCTCATTCAAACACCCACCCATACCAAACCTATACCCCTCATCCAAACACCAACCTACCCACCCCCCTCCCCCCCAACACCACACACATAACCATACCTGTCCACGTGTAGTGAGTTGCTGGACAGCGCTTGCTTGATGTCTACAGCGCTCTTGCTCTTGGTAAACCTGCCCCGCATCTTCTCCAGATGACTCATACTCTTCTGCCGCTGATACGCCGCCGTGAGGCTCTGATCCAACACGGGCGTGCGCGCACTTTTGGCCAGCACACTATTCTTGTGCAGCCCAAAGGACGCGTCTGCATCCTTCACACTACCCCCCACACCACCCCCCTCCTCCGTGTGGCTGTCCTTGTTGCTGGTCCCGTGGTTGCTGAGCCGGTTCAGCACCTTGCGCGTGCGTTGTTTGGCCATGTCGGTCTTAGACTGTCCCGTCAGCGGACTCCACCTGCGCTCCTTGTCGGTCTTGTTGGCGTCTGTGTCGGCGTCGTGTGTTCGTAGTAGATTGTCGCGGGTGTGTGAGTTGTCGCGGTTGTTGCCCATGACACTGACCGTGCGGCCCTTCCGAAGGGTCTCTGCCAGTGATAGTTTCTGCCCAGGGTATAGGGTTTAGAGTTAAGGGTTTGGATTCAGGGTGTAGCATGTGTAGGGGTTAAAAATCAAGGAGTGACAGAGCGTGGGCAATCCAGACACTATTTATGCGTTGCAGACGAACTCGGAGGAGTTACATCACACAGTAATTCGACTCCTCGTGCGTTCGTGGAATGCGATGGATACAAAGGCATGCTGCAGCCACTGTACGGGTACGCAATGGGACTGGAAGTAATAATACACAACACATACTGACACACATAAAAACACACACATACAACCACACACACACACACACGCACACACACACACACACACATATATATATATATATGAACGAGCTCGTAAAGCGAGGGATGCGCGTACACACGTATGTCGTACGATGCAGGTATCAGGGCATGTCGTCCCATGTGCGCATACGCTGACACACGCTACACGACTAAACATACACCTCAGCGCATGCACATGCGCCATTCAAGTATACATATGTACCACACATTACAAAGATAACACATATACAACGTATTATACTTTACCGAGTGTGTGTTGTATATATATTGTATATACCTGTGTTGGCTGCTCCGTGCTTCCCCTGAGTGTCGCCCATGTGATGAAGCGCTGTACCGCCGATCTGCTCAGGCGCGCGTTGTTATTTGATATTGTCACATGCGGACACCTGCACAGGAGATTCAAATACATAGCACATTGAGTGGGCATTTGCAGTGTCAAGGCAATATGCATATGTAGTGGAAATTTGGTATAGACTCGCTAATTTAGTATACATTTATATATATATATATGTAATAACATGTAATATACATATGTAGTGCACATTTGGTATACATGCGCTAAATTAGTACAAATGTGAGTAGATGTAACATGCATATGTATAGTGCATTTGGTACCATGCACAAGCGTGCCATGGCGCTGGCCCGGGTATAGGGTGTCTCAATATGTGTAGATATAGCCCAGTAGTATGAGGTAGGTATGGTTAATGATTGCTTAATGCATGTAGATATAGCCCAGTAGTACAAGGTTGATATGGTTGATACTTGCTTGGTACTGACCTTACTATATGTATGCATAGACATACCACTGGTATGCTACCATCAATCCTTCGTGGATTAAATGCCATAGTTGAGGGATCGCTGAGACACTTAGATTACGGGCCATGTGAGGGTGTTTATAAATACACGCACGAACAGAGACAAACACACGCACACGCACCAATCAGTACATACGGAACAAGGTGTAGTGATCTGCACACACACACACACACACACACACACACGAAACAGTACATAACAGTAGGCGACAAGGTACAGGTTAATGAGTTGTATTGACAGGGACTATGGCATGCATGGCAGTTGTCATGCCGACCTCCGCCGAGTGCCTAGCAACCGAGTCGCACATAAGAGGAACGCTACCACCCAGCCACTACACCAAGCAAGTACGTGTACGACAAAGGTCGTATACGTATCAGACAATGTGACGTGCAACTGACCTCATGCCCCTGGCTAGCTTAACACCCCGTTCGGTGAAGTCTGCAAGCCCCCCATAGGCGTGCCGATGAGATCGGTCTTGGTGCCAATGACCATACATTCATGCAGATAGCCTCCGTTGGATCGGCCCTTCCGTATGCGTTGGGACCATTCTGAGAGGTGTGTGTGTGTGTGTGTGGGATGAGTGAATGGAAAGGCGCCAAGAAGGCACGGAACACTGCCCCAAAACACCAGAGATAGAATAGGATACCGAACAGTTTGACTGGTAAGCACTTCAGAGAGGTGAACGAATATTGTGTGGTTACTTGGCAACACATGCCAAACACATACACACAGACACACACACACACACACATATATATATATATATATAATTGCACATACATATGCACATAGGTATATATACAATTACACAAACAC